CCCAGTTCCCCAGACTGATTGGGGGTACAGCAAGCCAGGTCAAGCCCAGCCTCTGGAACCAATAGTGCCCGCCTGCTTGCTTAAAACTCCACAGTCTACCAAGCACAGCCTGGCGTGGGGAGGCCAATGTTGGCACTATGGACCTGCCATGCTGCTCCAGTGCACCCAGAAGCTGTGAGGTTCCCTGGACGGGGCCGAGCGAGGGTTCCAAACTGGCTGGACTTGGGGAAAGTGCGTGGGCCTCTGGAACTGATGGTGCCTGCCTCTCTGTTTTTGTCTTGATTTGCTTCATAAAACAACATTGGAAATAGCTTAACAAGTCAGGGTGTCTATCTGGCATAAACTTCAGTCTCTCCTCTGTTCTAATAGAATGATTAACACAAAGGCCCATCTAAGCATGTGCAGTAGAAATGGTCCCTCTGACCATGATAGAAACCACTCCCCTAAGAAGGGCTTCCCCCACACCCTAGCAGCCCCTCTAGAAACTTTCCCTTCAAATGATCACCTGGTCCCATAAAAAGTTTGGGTGGAGAGGCACAGGGGAGGAGAAGGGGATGGAGAGGGAAGAGGAGGTGGGTAGCAAGGTGCAATCTGCCAGCACTGCTGCCTGTCCCTTCCTTACTCCTGCCACAGCACTGTGCATAGCTGCTGCCCGCCAGAACACCTGTGCTAGTCAGTGTTAGGGCCCCAGGGCCACCTGCCCTCGTACAGCTCCAAGAAGCCAAAAGCAGGGAGGAGCCCTGCCCTGGACTGATTTTTGAAGCCCACATCAAAGCAGCTGTGAGACATCCCCAGAAGGGATGCTGCGGCAAAGAAACCTGCTCCTGGCCCGTACAAGCCTGGTCACACCGTGACCTATAGCCACCCAAGTAAAACCTCTCCTTGACATTAATCTGCTCCTGAACACAGGCTTAGCGGATGTCATTAGAATCACAAAAGGGTTTAAGTCTGTCACAAAGAAGCAGGAAACCACATGTGTGAACCCTGTGGATGATCTGGCACCTTGACAAAAGTGCCTGCAGCCCAAGACAGGTCACAAAGGAAACTTTCCAGTGTGCTTATTAAGGCTGAGGTGGCAGGTGCACTTCATCATTGAGAAAACTAGTATTAAAATAAAAATTTAAGGAAAAAAGACTCAAAATAATTTATAGTGTCATACTTAAAGTAAGTGTTTAACAAGACGTGTGAAAGTCTAGATAGGAGCTCAGCTTACAGTAATTTGCCTGCGAATTAAGAAAACCAGAAGACATTGTGCCCAGCTATCAGAGATAGCCATGAGCTCCAGCCAGTGGCCAACATAGTGCTCTTGTTCCTCTGCAGTTCTCGCAACAGTATGGTCTTTCACCTGCCAGGCCAGGAAGTTACTGTGCCACCCAGTTCTTGCCTCGGTTTTTGCTTAAGCCAGTGAAAGCTCAGTCATCACAGCTACCCAGCAAAGTAATCTGTGGTTCCCTGAAAAATCCCAGAACCCAGACCCCTCTAGACCTGGCCACAGAATCTCCAGGGACCTGAACACAGAGGGCAAAAGTGCACAAGACAAGTGCAGAGAGAGAGAGATGAACACATGTTAAAAAGGCCACCCTCCACCCTGGACCTCCTCGGGAACATGCACTTCTTCTGGCCAAGCAAAGATGTAACCAGAGAATAGCAGAACTTGGAAATACACGGGCTCTTTCCCTCGGCTTGGCAGGGGGGGTGCCAAGTCCAGGGTTGAGCTACCAAATCAATCGTTTGGTCATGCTTTCAAGTAAGGCAGTAACTGATACTGATGTGCATGTTTGCAGCTCAGGCCATTAGCCATCCACAGAAGGCATTTTGATAAACCAGACATTCCTTTACTTTGGTGCCAGAGATGAAAGTAAGGCCTCCCACCTGTTAGTCACCTTGTACCACCAGATTGCAGCTGCAGTCTCTCCCACTGCAGCTTGCTCGAGGGCACGCTCCACCCTGCAGCTCTGAGCAGCAAGTTTAGTAAATGCCAGCTAATCCAGCATGACAAAAGGCAGATTAGCAGGCTCTGGGGATGGTGAAGGAAGCTGGTTAGAAGATCAGAATTTAGACAGAGAATGATACTTGTCTGGCTTGAAAAATAATTTTTAAACCACTTACCGGTGCTTTTATAATTAGGACAAAGTTTGGTGTTGTACACATACTACGTACATCTTTTATCAATCACAGAACTTACTCAGCGGGACAGCAACTAACCCTAGTATTAATGTATAACTCAGAAAATGTCCTTTGCCTCACTGAACAAAGCACCATGTCAAGCCTAATTTCTAGTCTAATCGCCAAAATATTACCTACATCAATTACTGAAAATTAACAAAATAATTTTGAAAACTTTGAAAACCTTGGTATGTTATTAAGAGTATGTTTGGGGGCTGGGGGTTTAGCTCAGTGGCATAAGCACCTGCCTTGCAAGCAGGCGGTCGTGAGTTCGATCCCCGGTACCGATAAAAATGAAAAAGACAAAAAAAAAAAAAAAAAAGAGTATGTTTGAAAGTTTTTGAATTCACGGCTTGAGTTTTGGATCTTGCTATATATTATTCAACCTACTAAATACTATGCAAATTGCACAATTATTCAGTACATCCATTTTTTTTTTCTTTTTGAGTCAGAGTCTTGCCATGCAGTTCAGGCTGGCCTTGAACTTACTTTGTAGTCCAGGCTGACCTTAAAATCACAGCAATCCCCCACCTCAGCCTCCCAAGTGCAGGCATGTGCCACCATGCCCAGCATGCCTGGCTGAGGACATTCATTTAAAAGAAATTGGTAGTTTTAAAATGCAAAAAAGGGTTCTATGTAAAACCTCAGTCAACCCTTCTGGACAAAGGTTGAATCCTTCTTCCCCAGAGATTTTCAGACCTAAACTAGCAGGTCTGTGGCTTTCTTTCTTTCCTTCGCAAATAGCCTGCATGTTGTCCCCTGAACGGGTTTCAGGTTTTCTGTGTCTGTCCTTAAATATGCACTCCTACATTTTGGTGAGGGGAGGTGGAGGAGTGTGCCAGGAATTGAACTCAGAACCTTGTGCTTGGCAGGTAGATGCTTGCACTGCTGAGCTATATCCCTGGCCATACTTCTGGTTTTTTGTTTTTTTTTTTTTTTTAAATCTGCAATCACTTGCCCAGTATGAATTCACTCTCCAGAACAAAAAAAAAAAAAAAAAAAAAAAAAAAAAGAATTACATATTACATATATCACACTTCTAACCACAGGAGGCCCAGCTTTGCTTGTGACTGCAGAAATGAAATCAAAAGTGATAAAATCATTTCTCAGTTCTTACATTCACAGAGAGAAAACATAATGACAGTAAAGGTGACATGGACACCAAGTGGCCAGGGGCAACATCAATCACTGTTTATGGTGCATACACCTTCTGCTGCCCCTAGGGACTTGACCAGGGAGAAGCCCAGGGTTGCAGGCTGCCTGCTGCATCGACTGCTTAGGTATTAATCCCCCTCCCCCCGCCTCATCATCAAGTCTGCCGTGCTTCCTGACTTTGTAGAGTGACGGGTCTTCTCCCAGGCCATCCTCCCCACCTGGCTCAGACATAGCCACCACCCTGACACTTCAGTTCTTGAGTTACAAGGTCTTATTAAAACAGTGGTCATGCATAGCATGTTCTAGAGTTTTGTGGTCCACTCCTGTAATCCCAACACTTGGGAAGGCTGAGCAAGGAGGACTGAGACTTTGAGGCCAGCCTAGATACACAGCAAGATCCTGTGTCATAAAAACGATACTGTGCTTAGAAAGGAGGTTGCTAAGTTAATGTGGCAAAGAACATTCTTCATTCATTTCTAAACTTCCGCCCCTGGTTCTTGGCCCAGCAATAGGAATACCTGATAGCTGGTGTATAAATGGACCCAGTGAACACCCTCCCTCTCCCTCTCTAGTGTAAAACATTGGACGCAGCAGCCTGCCACTCCTGTGAACAATGGGTAATGACAGGTCACCTCACTAGAAGCACCATATTATCTACATAGCATACGGCCGAGAATGCAAGTATTAAACTCACTCAGCAAATGAAAATCTTACAACAACAACACTAATAGAATAAGGAGCCCTTTTCTTTTTGGATGTTTGTTTGTATGTAGTTCAGGCTGACCTTAAACTCACTATGTAGCCCAGGCTGGCCTAGAACTCATAGTGATCCTCCTGCCTCAACCTCCTGAGTACTGAGACAATAGAAATATAATTCAATGCCAAAATGGGATCTTATCCATTTTTAATGCTGAATTCATCCCGAGGTATAATATACTCAGCCCCCTATGCCTGTGAGTTCTACATCCAAAACCTATGAAAATATTTGGGGGGAAAATGTATTCGTACTGAACATGTATTGACTTTTTTCTTATAATCATTTCCTGAGCAATACAGCATAACTACTGATAAGGTGTGCTAGGTAGTATCAGTCATCCAGAGATGATTTACAGCATATGCAAAGATACGTGTAGGTTACATGTAAATAAAGTGCCATTTTACAGACAGGGCTTGAGTACCCTCAGATTTGGGTTGCTGTAGGGCCCTGGAACCAATCACACACACACACACACACACACACACACACACACACACACACACACACAAAACCCCAGAACAAAGCAATCCTCCCCACACATACAACCCTAACTGTAGGGCCCTGGAACCAATCACACACACACACACACACACACACACACACACACACACACACACACAACCCTAGAACAAAGCAATCCCCCGCCACACACACACACAACCCTAGAACAAAGCAATCCCCCCCTGCCCCACATACAACCCTAACTGTAGGGCCCTGGAACCAATCTCACACACACACACACACACACACACACACACACAACCCTAGAACAAAGCAATCCCCCCCTCCCCCACATACAACCCTAACTGTAGGGCCCTGGAACCAATCTCACACACACACACACACACACACACACACACACACACACACAACCCTAGAACAAAGCAATCCCCTGCCAACATCCAGGAGACGCAGAGCTTACCTTTTGACCACCAGCTTTAAGGTCTTATGGGCCCCTTTCACCAGGCAAATTGCTTCGTGTCTAAACCCTGAGAGACTGATGTCATTGATGCCCACAATCTCGTCTCCAGCCAGTAACTTGTCCACAGCCGAGGCTTTACTTCCTTCCTCAATCTGTAACAGAGAAGCAAGTTCTGTGAGCCTCCATGAGGAGCCAACAATTCCAGAGTCCACACTAAGTTCTGTGAGCAGCTGGGAGCATAACAGACCAGAGCCCACGTGGTTCCCAGACTAGGATCCCAGAGCTGGCTGTGGGATTAGTCAGCAACCACAGGATCTGAATGGGCCCAGGAAGCTTGAAATGCACAGGGGCCCAGGGCTGACGGCATTACAGGGGAGACTGTGGACATACCTCTCCCTCCATTGCACTCCTGTCCCCTTTCCAAGAACTGAGGTATCTCGTGAGGCACTTGGAAAACTCAGAATCGAACCAAAAATAAGGGACCCAAAGACACTGACTCATCTCCTGCATTTTTGCACCATTTTTTATTAAGCACTCATTGTTTCTCATACATCAATCCTGCATCTGTCTCGACTGCTAGATTGTTTTTGTTAGCTGTATGGCAATGGAATGCAGATACCTTACATTCATTCATATAAAGTGCACATAAATGTGTGGCTTTTGGTATGCACAGAGTTGCATAATCATCACCATGATCCATTTCACATTTCCCTAAGCCCAAAAGAAACCTCATCTTCAAGTGAGTCACTTTCCAATCCTTCCAGTTCCTGGTAATCAATGATGTACCTTCTGTGTGTCTTGCCTCCAGAAATTTGCCTATGCTCGGATGTAGAAGCATACATTTGGCCTTTTGCATCTGGTTTCTCTCAGCTTAGCATAATTATGCTTTTGCAGTTCGTGTATGTAGTAGCCTACAGTTCATTCTTTTTATGGCTGAATAATATTTCATGACATGAACAGAAGTGTATCCATGTCAGCTGGTAGATATTCATGTGTTGCTACATCTGGTTATGATGCAATGCAGCTACAAACACTGGTATACAAGTTTTTGTGTGGATACGTTTTCATTCTTGCACAGTATATACCTAGAAGCCAAACTTCTGTGTCCTACGGCAACTGGAACATGTTGAAGAACCATCAAAGCCAATGCACCATTTTACATTCCCACCAGAGAATTCCCCCACATCCTTGCTAACACTATTATCATAGTCTTAATCATATTCTTGTGTTACAACCATGGTGCATATTAAGCTAGTTTGCTATGGCTCGAGTCTGAACACCATTTGTTCTGCATTCCTTAAATGATCCCTTGAAACTCTCAACGTGGGGCTTTGGGCATGGCTTGGTGATAGAGCTCTTGGCTAGTGTGTAGAAGGCCCAGATTCCATCCTTAAGACAGCAATGGAAACAAAGACCCACAACAAAAAGACCTGAATGTCATCTATTTTGTAACTTTTATTCTGGGAAAATCTGATCTATCAAATCTTTGCCAGTTCTTCCTACACAGTAACAATACCATTTGAAAAGGCAATTAACCCCAGCTAATACATCTATTTTCTACACAAGACATTGGCGAACCACGGCAGTAAGCTACTGGCTAGTAGCCACGGCTGCTATTGTTTTCCTAGACTATACCTGGGACCATTCATTTACCTGCTGCTACAAGGCAGCAAGGAGTCTTTGAACCATAAAGCCAAAAATATTTACTACTTGGCTTGTTCCAAGAAAACATCAGCCAATTCCTGTTTAGCCCCAGAAAGACTTTACAAATGGTGAAGAAACCCTGATGGGAGTTGACTGGAGGCTTACTGTGAGCCATCTGTGTAGATCCTGTGTAGCTATTCACTGCTTAGCTCTGTGCCAGGTTAACCTGAGGGTCACTTCTCCAAAGCCAGCCCAAAGACTCATGAAAACTGCTGTGGGAAGCCTGTCCCAAAGCAGTAACTTCTCTAAAACCTCCTTTCAGAACCCAGAACAACTGAATTCTTGTTAAAAAAGAATCAACACCATACAGGAGTTCAAAGACCACTCCCAACAAAAATATGAAATGATTCCTTTGGTCAACAATGAGTTTTGGTTTTTTTTTTTTTTTTTTTTTTTTTTTTTTGTCTTTTTATCGGTACCAGGGATTGAACTCACGACTGCCTGCTTGCAAGGCAGGTGCTTATGCCGCTGAGCTAAATCCCCAGTCCAACAATGAGTTTTGAAAGTTGTGATAAATTTGGTATGGTGGTGTATGACAATAATCCCAGCACTCTGGGAAGGTGAGACAGGAGGATCCACAAAGCCAGCTAGGCAACTCAGTGACTTAGCAAGACCCAGTGTCAAAATATGAAAATAAAAAAAAGAAAAAGGAAAGGCAAAAAGATCAGAGACTACAACTTAGTGAGAAGGTCATAGGTTCAACCCCTAGTAGAAGATAAAACAAAAGGGAGGAGGAGAGGAAAGAAGGAGGGGGAGGGGGAGAAAGAGAAAGAGATCCAGAGGCTTCCAGTGGATGGATCAAGGGCAACTGGCTGTGTTGGATATAGCAGGGCAAGGTGACCTACAGACGTAGTGGCCAGCACCAGAAAGTATTGATAGCCTCATGGTGAGGTTAAAGGCCACAAAAGGAGGCCACCTGTGCAGAAATCAAACCAGGGCTCAGAGGACAGACAAGTACCCAGAATAGATCTGAGTCTGCAACACTGGTGAAGAGGGGCCACCTCAGGAGATAAGAGTGGCTCCCAAAAACTACTGCAACCCACAGTGTAGGAAGGGGTAAGGAAGTGGCTCTAGCAGGAGCCTCTAGTACTCCAGCTAGCCTCACTCAGGTTACCAGGAAAGCCAGCAATGTCATCCAGTGCCCAGTCCAGCTATCTGGTAGACATGCAAGACCATGTCAGATGGGCAGAACAGCAGAAGCAGAGTTTACTCTTGCCTTTAAACAATCATTCATCCTAGTGGAAACCACCCAAATGTCATTCAAGAGATAAATGGGTGAACTCTGGCATACACACAGTGGAATACTACTCACCCTTTAGAAATGGGAGGCCATGCAGGGGTGTCACTCAATAGCAGAGCACCTGCCTGGCATGCATGAGGTCTGGGTTCAGTGCTTAGTACCCCCTGACAGTATACTGTTACATGCCATGACACTGTGAACTTTGACACATCATGCTAAGGGAAGTAAGCCAGACATGCAAAGATAGTGAATCATCTGACTTGTAGAAAATACTGAGTGGTCAAAACAGAGCACAGAATGGGCAATTAATATTTAGTGGGTACAGTTTCAGTTTTGGAGGTGACACCAAGTCCTGAAAATTGATAATGATGTTTGTACAACACATAAATGTATTTAATGTCACCAACTTGTACAATGAAAAAATGGCCAAAGCAGAAAGCATCTTTGTTTCTCTGGTCAATTTTAAATTATGTGTATTTTCCCATACTAAAATGTTACATATCCCTTAGCTGGGTGTGGTGGCACATGCCCTTAACTCCTGCACATGGAGGCTGAGGCAAGAGGAGTGCCCCGTGTTTGAGGCCAGTTTGGGTTACATAGTGAGTTCAGTGACAACCTGAACTACACAGCAAGACTTTGTCTCAGTCAGTCAATGAATCAATCAATCAAGCAAGCAAGCAATCAAGCAATCAAATAAATGTTATCTGTCCTTCAGTATCTAAAACCACATGCCCTTTTCTCTGATACCTTTGAATTCAAGTATTTCAAAGCCACTCTTCAGATAAAGCCTTGATGACTAATGACCCAGTGGGAAGTATCCTGGGACAGTTTGTGAAGCAGCATGTTCTCAGGGTGACAAATTGTGTGTGACTCAGCTACTATAGTGGGCTTTTTCGAACTCATGCTCATGGACACTCATCTAGCAACCCTGTGAGACTCACCCCAAGCCACAGCTCTAGTAACTGTCTTCACTGGGAAGGAGCTTGCATGTTACCTCTGCTTACCACCAAAAAACCCGAAGGACGACCACATTCCTCTCACAATACAGCTGCCTCACGCAACTATACCTCCTCCACTCCCCAGAAAACCTGCTCGGCTTTGTGAGATAAGGTAGTGTTTGTTTTCCACTGGTCTTCGTGCCAAGAGAAAATATCTCTGGGATATGTATGTGCTCATGGGGGAGGTAGTCAGAAAAGTACAGGCTCTGAAGAAGTACATTCTACACTTCTAATGCATTTAACTTCTCATGCTGAGGAGAATGAAGAAGGTCTGAGCGTAACACTGGCACTGGTTTCCACAGGACTGAAGATAGCAGTGTCCTTCCAGTGTATCAGGAGCCCACAGGGGATGCTAATTTTACTCTGACCCCATATTTGCAATGTAAATGTCTGCAGAAGGTTAGGGCAGGCACAGAGCAGATCTGCCCCACAGTATTCGGGAAAATCCACTGAGAAATGAAATGTCTCAGGATGTGTACAAGGGAACACCTTGCTATCCTTCTGGAAAGGTTTCTATCTAAACGTTGATGGGGGGGGGGGAAAACGCAAAACAGTTCAGGAAAGCCTGCAAATGCAGTCTCCAGCAGTGAGAACAGCGAGAGCTGTGCATGCTTCCCTGCCCGTGTCTCTGTGGTCCTCCTGATGGGAGACAAGAGAAACACCAACACAGGGCAGAGGGTCAGGGAAACCAAGGACTCCTGAAGTGGCAGAGCATGGCAGTGATCCCAGCTTGGAAAATCACAGGAACCAGAGGCCCTAATGGAAGGAGGAAGACCTGCTTTGTTCTGTCAGTCTGTTGCCCTATTTTAAATGGATGAATCACCTGGCACTTTATCAGTTCTGATCGCCTCAGTTTTCAGAGAGTAACCTTCCTGCAGGGCTGGCCAGTTGCTGAAGGCACCTCCAGATCTGCCCCATCAGATTGCATTCCTCATCCTAACTGGGCTCAGGTCCCAAGGGAAGGAAGTCTGATTCAGGTAGGGATGGTGGCAGATGGCCAAGACTCAACTACCGCTCACCACACAGCAGGTTTCGGCTTCAATGAGACACACACGCACCCTGAAGAGAGGCAACTCGCCCTCCAAGCTGGCTGGAGTGAGAAGACAGCAACTCCTGGCCCTGAGGTGGGTCCCAGAGGACCCAGTGGAGGAAGGGGCAGCAGCTAGCAGGCACAGGAGCTTGTATCTGCAGGGCACCTAATGCCAGCCCA